ATAGTACAACTTAAACATGTTAGAACTAAAACCAATTGTAAAACTAGAGGTACCAAAAACATTCTCATTAAGTCATAATAGAATGTTTTGCTTAGTAATGTAGTGGGATGCATGCTTAAATGTTATAATATCATTGATAAAAGAGGTACCAAGATTTGCTCCTTCAAAATATGAAAGAAAAAATTTTTTAAAATATTTTGTAGAATTAGCGGTAAAAAATTTGAAAATTTCCTTCAAATGAATCAGTTACATTTTTACTACGAACTAAGCTGTAATAACTTCTTCTTGAAATACTTGAAATATTTATACTTGATTTAATATTTTTAAATTCAGCTTATAACAGAGAGCCATTCATCTTAAGCAAGCTTTACTGCAATTTAGATTGAGATGAAGAATAATCTTTGCTTTCTTTTATTCTTAGCTAAATGTTTATCAGTAATCTTGTCCTTGTCCGCTGCGCAGCTTCCTACCCTTATCCTTTTATGATTGATTTCAATAGAGAATTTCGTGCTGATTAAGATTCGTATAAAGAGAATGACCTGAAAATTTGAGGAAAGTACTCTAATTTGATGCCGAAGTTTAAAAAATTACTCTAAAAACGCTAACATTGCCATCTTTTTAAAAACGTCTTTTAATCGGTTTTTATTTAGAAATCAATCGTTAAAAAAATCTTTTTTTTAATTACGCTACCCGCTTTTTGTTGTAGTCATTGAAATTTATTTATATTTAGTTAAATGTTATCATGCATAAATAGGGTTAAATACCCTATGTACTCTTTTTAATAAGAAAATCTTTGAGACAGCTTTTTAGATGTAAATACATCGACGGAAAAATAGGGATTGGCGCAATTAAATGTACATACATTGACTGAAAAATAGGAGTTGGCGCAATTAAATGCAGGGGTGGATCTAGGATTTTATATAGGTGTAGGTAAAATTTGTAAAATTACGTCATAATTGCAACTATTTAATAAGTCGGTTAGTCTACGTCAAAAAGACGTCCGATAATTACGTCATGTAGACGCCACCAGACAGTTTTTTATCTGAGCGTCTTTAATTTACTTTTTGCACACATATATTTTTCATTTATTTTAATGGATTCTAGTAAAATAATTAATAGTAAAATATAAAATTTGCCTTGGTTATTCTGTTCGTATCTTAGAACTAATGTCTAACTTACTTAACGAAGTGCACCAACTAGAAGGTAAGCCATAGGACTTTGCACTACATAAGTAAGTTGTAATGCTGCCTAAAGTTAGCTCTTCAATTCTGGATTCCCTCCTTTATATTTTTGTTACTAATAGAATAAATGCAACTATTACTGCATTAACAATATGATATCGTGATTTATTCAAAATATATTTTCTTTAAAGTTGTATACTACTATATATAAATATATAATAAAAAAAAAAGATTTGAGCAGTCTCACTATCTATAAAATCCTCAGGAAGCTAATTTATTACACATTTTTTTTTTATAATTATCAAGTACTCTTTTTGTAGCATACTCTAACGAAATTAACACACATATTTAAATTTTTTATTTAGTGGTTTATATTATTTAGTTTAGAACAATTTTTAAAATATTTAACATTTTAGATGTCAAGGAATATGAAATGTACACATAATAGAAAATAAATTGATTTATTAAACATTTATAACCAATAAAAAATAAGATGCTCTAAGAGCAAATTAAACAATGAAAAAAACAAAAAAATGATTGTAAATATAAGAGATATTCAATTATTCTATTCACATATAAATATAATTATTATTCAATCATAGCCAATTATTTAGGGCTTAAACAGCAACTTTAAATATCTCTCTCCAGAAGCTGAAAAAATTTTGATAACCCCCGTCTTTATCTAGAATTATTTTGGTATAAATTGACATTAAAGCTAGAACATTCAATGACTTTTTTAACACTTGATGAAATCAGCCGTTATCACTTTTGTTTAAAAAAATACTAGATAAGGGTTTTGATTGATTTTTTTAAAGAGGCTTCCATGATCCAACTCTGCATAAATAAAGGTTGAATGCAGAGTTGGAATGATAGATGTCTAGAAATTCCTGAAAGTAGATTTGCAAATCTTAGTTAGTTTTTAGGTAACTTAACATAACAGTTAGAACTGCAAACATCTCATATAAACAAACTTGGTTTCTGTTTGAAATCTTATATAATTAATAAGCTCATTAATAAGATAGTCTAGTAGAGGTAAAGGAATTAAGCTTAAAATAATCACATGATGAGTGATTATTATGATTGATTTGCTTTCCACTTTTTCTATTTTTTTGTTTTCTTTTACATTTAAAGTCATAGCTAATTTAAAAGCGATATTAGACCAGTTGTAGCAATATAAATCAATACCAAGTTTAATCTTTTGAGGTGTGTTTTTTTAATTATCAATTTCAAGATTCTGAAATTTGAGACATGTCGTATTTCTTATCTTGGAGTTTAATTATAATCTAGAAAATTCAATCCATCAAATTTTGGTTAAAACT